CCCGCAATAGGAAGCTCGGAAAGTGAGGCTGCCGTACGAGATGGGGAGCCAGGTGCCAGAGCGCCGCTGCTCTCAGCAGGGTGCCCTCAGGCTGCGCTTCTGAGGCAGGCGGAGAGGACCTGGGGAGACCTGTCCAAATCCTTGCCCTGCCTTGGCCCTGCCATGTCATCATCACACGACTGGGTTAATTAATCGGTGAATTGCTGCAGACACATTTGTCTAGTCTGGGCCTGTATGATGAGCTGAGACTGGAGGTTGCTGCTACCAGATGAGATGTTTTTCTCTAGAAAGCCTTCCCTTCACCTCTTCGCTTTCACCACATTTGGGATGAGTAAACGAGCGTGACCTGCACAGAAATCATGGCAACAGGAGCTATCTTGATCTGGCCTGCCGCTGCTCGGCCTTGTCAGGGCCGCGCAGAGCAGCTGAGGGGAGGCAGCAGGCCCGCCACCATTCCTGGCACAAAGCTCCTGCTCGGGCTTGTGCAAGGTGAAAGGACCACTCGCTCCAGCTTTCTCAGGGCTCCCTCTGCGTGCTTCTCCAAACGCTCAAGTGGAGTCTGGGGAGAAGGTACCTGGGAGGCTTCCCCTGTGCTCATGCCCAGGTTAATACTCTGCTGCAAGCGCTTTAGAGAGGTTGGCCAGCTGGGCCTGCCTTCTCCCTGTCCATACGCTGTCTTGCTCACTCCCCTGGATCTCCACAGCCAAATGCAAGTGGAAGGCGATGACTTTAAGCATTAATGAAAATGTCGCAGTGACTCCACACTGATACAGAGCGTCTTATGGGGTCTTTTCTGTGATCAATGTATTCATGAGAATTAGTCACAACACTGCTTTAGCTTTTAGCTTAAAGACAAAGCATGTCTTCAAGTATAGCAGAAGCCATGGGCTGAATTCTAAGTCTGTGAAAAGCTTTGGGAGAATCCTGATTCCTCACTGGCAAAATCACCTGGGACAAAATAAAGAGACAAAATAAAGAGTAGTGAGGAGTCTTCAGTTGCTGAAAGACTCAGCTTTTTGTAATTAAAAAAGAAAAAAGAAAGATGATTCTCTGCCTTGCTTGGAAATCCTCACAGATTTCCTGTAAGCTTGGTTTAGGGGAAAATGTGCTACTGAGAAAGTGACGGGCCTGAGCTTGAGAATTACCTAGGGACCAGCAGGCTGTCCGGCTGCGTTTCCCCGCACCGAGCCCTGGGGAGAGGCGCTGGGACCCGCCGCACATGCACAAGGTCTTCTCCTCAGCCCTCCAACTCGGGAGACATGGGAGACACGGGCCCCTCGGGAAGGGGCCCCTGCTTAGCTATGGCGGGACACCCCTGTGCACCCCTGGGGACAGAGTCAGTTTGGGGACTAACTTGCAGATGGACAGACAGGCAACGGTTGCGAGGATGCATAGGGCAGCTCTTGGAGAAAATCGCAGGTCTGTTTTGATCCTCCCCATTTTGGAGGGCCAGTTCACAAGTGTGTCAGTCAGTGGTGTCAAAACCCAACAATTTGCCTCAGATTTTTGCAGAACTGTTAAGTCAGTTAAACTGTCWTCTGTGCTGCTTACACAGCAGGGTCAAAGGACTTCAGGCCCAACAAAAAGCATCTTCTTTTCATGTGTTTTGCTCTGGGGATTGTGTGAGAGGTAAGCGAGAGAGAAGAATGGCAAAATAGATGAGAAAGGCAGAGAAATGGGGGATAGAAATGGGGAATGGAGAGGAAAGCAAATGGCACCAGGGTTTGCATTCACCGGGAATTAATTAAAGGTATCTAACATTTTGACACTGCTTCTCTAAGGCATCATGTGGTCGTCTGCTTTCCAGGTCAGTCAAATATCTTCACCGTGCCTTTGTCYCAGAGCTGGCTAGCTCTCCAGTACTGTTGGTTGTACGTGCTGCTGAGGAAAAGAAAATTTCCTCTGTGGCTTGAGGAATTTCTAAAACTTGGGTGGGCAAGGAATAAAGGAAATCAGGATCTTTTTTTGTTAAAAGATAAGGATTCAAGAGCTTTTCTACTTTTCCTGACAGCAGGTTCTGGCTTATAGAGCAAGTCAGGATGGAAGCTTTTCCTCTGAACTTCCTTTCTGCCCTTAATTAGCTAGGCTCTGTGGGGGCATTTTCAGCATGGTAATAGTTTGAATTAAATGTGTTTTTCTGCCTAGGGAAAAGAATGTCAGCCTTTGCAATGGTTTGGTGTTGTCACGCGTTGCAGGGCTCCAGTGAAGTAGCTGCCATTAGTGCACACCAAGTGATCGAGTGAATTTCACTGGGGGTGGGAAGAGAAGGGAATGTTTTTTCCAGAAGAGTCATTAAAAAATGTTTCCATGGTGGATGCCTCTCCCACAGCCTGGTTATAGAGTGCGTCCAGCACAGAAATGGGACAGAACTCAGTTTTCATTTTTGCTTTGCAGTTCACCTTTAAAGTGAAAGGGGACTTCTGTAGGGCTGAATGACTCTTCATAGACTCTGGTTCCTTCAGGCTTGTAGCATTCAGGTTGCAGTTTCAAGGGTTCAGAGCCTTTTAAGGGTAGATGTGACATAAGTAGGAGTTTCCAGCCCTGGCACATGTACTGCCGAGGAGGTTTTTGTTCTCCTTTTGGTTGTGAAGGAGACTCGTAGGGGCAAGGCACAGAGAACCTCATGCAACTCATGATGCGGTATCACCCTGACATTTACAGTACGCCTACTCTTCCTCTATCACTCCAAATGAAAATATAAATCACGTATTCGATGGTGGTATTGCTGGAGTCCACAATCACAGCTTTCCAGGCTGCTGTTGGAAGTCTCCCCAGCAGCTCTCAGCAAGCTGAGAGTTCAGCTCAGAGCTGAACTGAGGGGCTGTGCAAGGAGGTGGCTGAGGAGAAGCGAGCACACACGAGCACGCATGCACACAGGAGCATGCGGATGCACAGGAGGAGGAACTTCGAGAATCGCAGCTGAAAGTGGCCTGCTTTTAAAGCAAGCAGAAGGAAATGCTTTTTCACATAGCGTGTAATCTGTGGACCTTGTTGTCACAGGATGTTGTGAAAGCCAAAAAAGAAATGCGTGTGTTCTGTGAGGGGCAAGATCTATTCTTGAGAGGTGCGCCTGTCAACAGCCATTAAATTGTCGATCTCAAGAAAGCCCTGAATGTGTGCTTGCCATGCCCAAGGTTGGCACGTCATGGCCRTTCCTATCCTGTGGAAAGTGCAACAACAATTTTTCTCTGCTGCTTTGCTATTRGTGGCTGGCTGACACAGGTCAGTGGGCTGAGTGGGCTCCTGGTCTGCCCTAGTCTGGTTATCTTAGTCTATTAATCATTTTATAAGGGAAAGTACAGCTAGCCACAAATAAAAATGTATCTTGCCCCTCTGGAAGACCAATAAAGTACCAGAGGGAAGGGCAAAAAGTTAAATGACAAGTTGCTAATTTAACTATATAGCAATTTTTACTTGATTAATATAAAACCAATATTGCCTCTCCAGGATTTTTCTGTGTGTTTCCTACCAACTTGGTATTAAGCCTGCAGGTGTGCCTCAGGTGGGGTGGTGCTCATTTCAGGTCAAATCTCAAGCACTCCATCTGGCTTCATGAGTGCTGAATTTCATCTAGTAGCTCGTGATGCTGCCCAAGTGTCCTTGTCTCCCTCCAGCACCCACAGCTGGAGGACTGCAGAGCATTTCACAGGCGACAGCCTAGGACAGGGGTCCATATGCAGCAGGAGCCTTGCTCTTTGATGGCACCCCAAGGGTATGTGAGCACTGTGCACACGTACAGGGTGGCTGCCCTGTACTGCGTAAAAATAATGTGTGTTTCAGTGTCAGACAGGTTTTACCGCTTGGCTTTGCCAAAGCTTCAGCTCGCAGCTGAGCTAAGGCTGAGATTCTTTGCATGGATCTTGCGTCCACGTCACCACATTGGTTGGCATCACATTCTGCTCATCAGTAATGTCCTCCCTGCTCAGGGCTCTCCCCCTGTCTCTGTCAGACACATTTCTTATCTATTCTGCAGGAGAGGAGAAGGAAATTTGAGTCTTCTCTGGTCTGAGTCCATTTGTTTGCTTATTTTTCCGCCTTTCGTCAACGAAATGCAGGAGACCTGTAACCTCTGTCAGTACTGCATTGCTGTTCCAGCAGAGGCAAGGGCTTCTCCCTGGCTCCCCTGGATTCCCCGCCTCTGCAGGAGCCTACCCACTGAGAAGAGAAAGGAGGRTGGGAAAGTCATTTTGATCATGGGAACAGAGTGCAAGGAAGTCTTGATGTGAAGCAAGAGTATTGCTGCTAACTTGGGCAAAGTTGCATCAGATTTCCCCCTTTCAAAAGCTTGTTATTGTAGCATCATTCCTATATCCTGAGTTGGGCACCTGCATGTGGCCTGGGCAAGCGTTTTGGGAGCTGGCTAGCTTGCAATGGTCCCAAGGGAGGACCGTGGCCCTTAGATTTGTCTTAGCTAGACTGGGCAAAAAYTATGGCTCTGACTTTTGTTTATTGCTGTAGGATTGTGTCTAACTTCTGGGATTTTGGAAGTTTCTTGTCCTTAACATAAAAATGATATTCCACTGTTGCCCAGTTTGGAGTACAGGAAATATACAATCAAAGATGATACAGACATTCCTAACACTGAGTTCTAAACAGGGAGTACAGAGGAGATGTTTAGATACTAGCAGTTTGTGCAGTGTACATTATTATCCTTTCAGATGACTAWCATATTTGTTCTTTGCCACACAGTGGATTTTCTTTAAGGTTCCAACAAAAATTCTTCTCAGGCAGGTGACCCTCCTGCCTGACCTCAGCAGTCCATGAATGTTGAAACCCTTGTGTGCCCACTAGCTAGGAAACATACGTGTGATTTGAACATCCCAGAAAAGGTATTGCCAAGGTGGGCTCCTCTCCTTGCAGAGCTGTAGCTGTGAACTACAGGTCTGTGCATAGAGGGATGAGCAGGTGAAGACAAGAGTTGGAGCAGGTGAGTTCTCCACAGAAGCTCCTGGTACCAGGACACACCACCATCTCACTGCCTTTCATTTGCTCTCTCTTAGGCTACGCAGTGGAGAAAAAAGTGGCCAAAGGCAAAGTGGGGGAAAAAGTTGGCCTGCCCTGTTGTCATGAAATACCCAGCACAGAAAGCCTGCGCAATTACCGGGTCTACTGGCAGAAGAACATCACGGAGGTGGTGCTTGCTTACGCAGAGGGGGAGAAGATCTCAAGCAACGAGCGCTTTGACAATCGGACCCAGCTCAACAACCGCAATCTCACCCTGTGGATCTCTCCYGTGGAAATACTGGACAATGGCCCCTACCAGTGCATCGTGCAGCACCTCAAAGTTTTGCAAAACTCAGTTGTACCCAACATCGTGTGTGATGAACCTGTGACCCTCTACATTACAGGTAGGTTGGTTGCCTCCTGTCACCTGAGAGCCTTCCTATGGAGATAAAGGCAATTCTACAAGTTTTGCTCAAAGTGAAGCTGTCAGACCTCATGTTAACCAGGAAGCCCCCCAACAATGTCAGAACCTGTTAAGTCCCCTTTGCTTGCCTTCCATCAGCCTCTCCCCCAGCTTCACAAACCCACCTCAGGTGCAGACAACATTTGTGCGTTGTCTCCCAGCACCAGCCCCCTGACTTCCCCTGGTAAGGACCTCTCCTAGAGGTGTCTCCTGAGACACCTACCCCATGGCCGGTCAGTGCTCTGGGGCGCCTCTGCCCCCTGCTGTCTTTTGGGTGAAGCTGAGACCAAGTCCTGGGTGCAAGGTGAGTGCTTTCCCCATCAAAACGCAGTGTGCCTGCTTCCCGCAGGCAGAGCAGCACCCCCAGCCTGTGTCACACCCCAGAGGGGACCAAGACGTTCTATGAGACTGGCAGGTTGGAAAACAGCTCCAAAGCCTAAGGTCTAAGCTAGCTGCAGCTTTGAGGCTTTTTACCTTAAGAAACAATGTAAGTCCCTTTGCTCAAAACGAATCTGAATCTTTTCTTGGAGGCTCRAAAAAGTTCCGTTTACATTATTTTCCATTTGCTTTACTGTCTCTGCCGTGGTTAGTTTCAATCAAATGCAGAGATACTGGTAATTTCATATTTGTACATACATTTACATTTATATATACATATTTTGGCACGAATACTTTTAGCTGTGAAAGTTTCAGAAAGCTTCTAGAAGAGTCAGTGAGTAAACACTCCCCATCTTGAGTGAGATTGTAACCAAAATAAAAAAAAAAAGAGGGGTTGACCATTGCATGTCTGCTTGGGGAAGTGTAGGGTGTATGTGAAAGGACATAAGTTCACTGATTCATCCAATGACTGGGAAAAAAAAATGGGAGCTGTGTTGCCAGATCCATCTCCARCCATAGAAGGAAATACTGCTGAGGGTCGAGGAGTTACCTGCATGGGAAATGTGAGATGACTTAGTCATAGACGTTAGCCTCCCTTTGAGAAGGAAGGATGAGTGAATGTGGGGCTCAGCAAAGGGAAAGCTTCCGTCAGCTTTAGGCCATTGCTTCAGTCCAGCTGCCCCAGGAGAAGCTGAAACTTGTTACGTGCTGGTGACTGCTCGGTGAAGTGGCTTTCCAGGCTGGATATGAAATCAGTGTTGCTCAATAGTTACTCATTAGTTTACACTGTAGGTTCACTGTTCTTAAGCCATGAAAGACTCCAAGGGGCCACGTCCCCTTCCCCATTGTCCTGCCCGTGTGCATGGGCTGTCCACCTTTTGCAGCCCTGTGCAGCCCTGTGGTGGGTTGGTGATGCAGACAGGCAGCTCCTCCAGGCAGTGCAGTGCAACCTGCTGCAGCTCCCTGCCCGGCCTCACTGCAGTTGGGGCTGACACTGGCTTGGGGGGAGCAATGGACTTGCAGCAGATGGGGTGGGAAGGAGAGGAGCAGGATTTGGACCCTTTAGATCAGTGGGGTTGGTGTGACTTGCAGTCTGGACACACAGCTTCTTCTCCTGCTGAGGACCCACAGAGATTTTTTTCCAGGGCAAGAGCTGCCTTAGGGARTTCTTGTACCACCCCTTATATCCTCCTTACTGCCCCATCCAGGCCCCATCCAGCACCACCTTTCTTCTTCCTCACTCAGATCAGTTTTCTCATCCATTTCACCGTGCTGAGAAAAATGTGTGGTGGAAACACGGCCTCTGTTCTTTAGGGGAGGGTCCATTTATTGCTAATATTTTTGCAGTGAGTAGTACACTGCGTCTGTGCTCTCAGATGGGCCTTCTGGAGGGACTGTARTACAGAAAAGTAACTTGCTCTCTTGCTGCCTGGCCTGGCTGAGAGGCAGGCCAACATCTGACTCATTTCTGGTCTTGCCAGAGCTGAGGCCTCTGCGAGCCCTGCTGGGAAGGGTCTGAAGAGGGAGGGGGAAAGGGACGTTGTTCATCATTGCATGTAATACAACTTATTATTCTGTCAGTTCATATTCGGTCCTGTATTTTCCCCACCTGTTCTGTAACTCCTTCTGGTGCTTCACAAACTGCTGCAGGCAGAGAGAGAACGTGCTGCTCAAAAGACAGGGCCATGAAATCCTTGGCCCTTGGGATACTGACCAGGCAGGTAGAGAGGTGAAGACCAAAACCGTATCCACTTAAGACTGTGGAAGGAATGCTAAGGCATAAGAAGGGCCATGCATACTGGGACAGCTTGAGTAAGAAGAGAAGCACCTGAGGGAGGAGGGTGGTCTCTGCTTGGATCACGGGTGACTAGGACCCAGAGTAACTGAAGCTGTTTCTTGTTTCAGCTGACTTCAGCGAGCCCAGCGTAACAGCAGAAGTAATCACCAGCTCCTGTGAATTCGATGAGGTCATGTTAAGATGTTCCTCTCATGGAGGATTCCCCAAGCCCCAAATCTCTGGAGTCCTCAACAACAGGGCTGTGGCGTGGAATGCCACCTGGGTGTCTGAGTCCAGCAACAGCCCATACAACGTCACCGGCAACATGCAGCTCAACTTGACTGAGGACACCAACCTCACTTGCTCTGTGGAATACAACGGCTTTGCCAAGTCTACTAGCTTGCTTCTGAGTAGGTTTTTACTTACTTATACATTGTTGTAGAAATATTCTGTGGAATTTGCTGAAGTGCCCTCTGAGGAAGTGGCAGATTTTGCATATCTATTCTTTCAGGGATGGTCCAACCAACTCATGTATGAGCTGCTCACCAAAATATTTCAACGCCTGTAAGGTAACAGGGTTGGGAAAGTAGCATTGGACAAGCAGCTTTCCTGCTGCTTCATTGTGAGTGATGACGACCCCAGAGGGCTGAGTAAGCAGTAGGATCCCATTGTGGCCCAGTGGTATCAGCTTCATCATCCCAGTGGGATTTCTGCCATCCAGTGCCTGGCTGTACTGGCACATGGATGTGGCATTTGAATGGAAGGGCTTGAGAAGGGTGTGTGCCTCAAAAGCCACATGCTGCACTTAAAAGGAACTTTCTCATTTAACAAACTGGCATGTTTTGTGCAGCTTAGGCATCAGAAACTGCCAGCTGGGGTCTACAAGAAAGTTCTGCTTCCCCACATGTGTTTAATATTGGGGCTAACTGGTATGGGTAAAATGGCATCACTGCACTTGGCTTGAAAGTGATAAAATAGCCTGTGCGTAAGGGACAGGAGGAAACAGCATGAAGCAAGGCAGCACACTAGGCTCCAGATGTTTTGTGGTAGAAAGGAATTTAAAGGAAATTCCTTAAAGCCATAAAGATTTCTTTTTACTGGTATTACCAAAAAAAAAGGTCTTTTAAAATATGTCTTTGGGTCTCATGTTTTGACTGTAGAGATATAGGCATTTTAAAGGGAAGATTAGAGAATACAAGAGCTATTTTTCCTAGGGAACAATACCTTATTCACCTTATTCATCAAACCTTATTTATTCAAACAATTTTACTAAAATGGAATGGACTTATGAGAAAGGTGCCATTTGGCTTCAGGAAAAATGCCAGAAACTAGTGCATGCTGAATATTGCTTCTTGCTAGATGTAGTGTGTAACCTTCCTAGAGATGCTAATGGAAGAACGTGATGAATTTCACACTACATAGAAAAGACAACCACCACCAACAAACACAAACAAACAAACAAAAAAAGCCAACAAAAAAGCAGTAATATTAAGACACCATTGTCACATAAATTCTCAGAGGAGGGCTCAACAATCACAACAGCAGTCACAGAGCCCCCCCTTTTAACATGCAACTACTTATACTCAAGTATGATTTGAAATGTTTCTCAAAACAAACCTTTTCTGAACAGAGACTGCAGCCTCTGGAAAGCACAGGAGACAAAGCTTAAAGCTGTGAGGGAAGCCCTGGAGTGGGGCCATGTGGGATCAGATTGTAGAGGGCAGTCGAGTTTCTTAGAAGTCAAATGCTTCTTAATTGTGCTAGCTGCGATGATGAAATATCAAGATCTATGAGTGTGCATTAAGTCTGCCCTGCTTTTAAGTCAAGGTTAACCAAACTGTACAAGTATGGCACATTATCTGTTCTAATTTCCGAGTGAAAAATGGCTTCCTCCAGTGATGAAAAACAAGGGATCCAGATCCACTGAAACTCAACTCTGCTCAACACTCTCTCAATGTCATGCAGGGAATGACACCATTTTAATTTTATTTAATGCATCTTATCTGCTGCCACCTGTGAGTTCAGAGGAAAAGATGAGGCACAAAACTGCCTAAAACAACCTGCCGAGTACCTCTGAGAATGTAAACTTTCTAGATATTGGCTCAGAGTTTTTAATCAAGCCAGATGCTTTGAAAAGAGTTTATATATTTCTTTTAGCTAGTGCCTACCTCCATCCTTTTCTGAACAGACATCCAGCATTTAGGACTCTAGTGTTTTAAAAATGTCAGCACATAACAAATGTGGGGGAATGGAGCGGCCTTTACAGCTTAGGTGCCAGCTTTGTCTCCTTGCTTATTGGATAAGTGTATTTTTGGGCTGCATACCTAAGGTAGAGTTTGAGCAGAACCACCCAGATTCACATACCTGCTCCTACATGGAAGTGCAAATATGATATGGGGCCTCTCACTTATGTTTTATTTCTTCTCTCTCAGAAAAAAGAAAAGACTGTGTTCTTCCTGCTGTAGCTCCGTCTTATAATGTTGTTATTGCTTCAAGCATCATCATCATCATCTTCCTTTTGGCTGTCACCTTAGCAGCAAGATTCCTCCCGAGGCACAGTAAGTACAGCTCCTTCTTCAAGATACAGTTTCTCACTTCTTGTGGAAAAACTCTTTAAATATCTTTTCTAGAAATTGCACTGATACACTAGATATTTTTGTACCTCCTTCTCATTTCCTTTTTTTTTTTTTTTTTTTTTTTTTGGTATGTGGCATCTACTGTCACAAAATCTAAGAACAACTCTGTACTTCCCTACGTTTTGCTGTACAAGCAGCACCAGAGTTCAGGTCTGAGACTCAAAGAGTGATTGGTATTTTAGTCAGCAAATTGGAATATTTCTAAAGAGCGGGGGGGTAAACAGAAATGAAGAGATACACGAAGGTTCACATTTGTTTTAAAGTGCTAGAAAATGCTAAGAATTTTGGTCACGATAGGTACAAATGAGAACTGTTTTCAAATGGGAACTCTCAGTGCACCCTGCTGGATGAGTCCTCAGGAAAGTCACATGGCCAAGTTGCAAAATTGTGTCAGGGCCATAGGAGGGACTTGAGCAGAGCAACCCCCGACTTCYAGGGGACTCATCACCTACCAGGATMTCAGTGAGGGGGCACGGATTTGCCTTCTTTGTGGAGCCCACAAGGGCATAGGTGGGCCACCCTGTCCCACTTTATGAAGCCTTCAGTAACTCCAGGTGTGTCCAAGAGTTCTTCACCTCGGGACATCTCTGTCCCAAAAGGGAACTTGCGCATATCTGAGTTAGGTGGCAGCTTAGATTTGGGKTTTTTTTGGCAGAGGGATCTAAATCTCATGTCCTGTCTGTTGCTTCCAATCATGTCTAGGCTGACCTAGCCAGCAAGTGCTTAGAATGAGCAGACATCTACTAGAACTAAAAAGGCAGCCATGCATCCAGCCAGTACTGGAATTCAAGAGCAGTTTGTGTCTCATCTCCACCCCTTCAGTGGCTTTGTAAGGCAGTCTTGGAGAAGGACCTTGTCTTAGCAATCATTGACTTGTCTTCGTGCCACGCTCTGTTCTAATAAGCACGATTTATGAATATGGCACTGTGTAGATGCCATATACTTCACAGAGCTTTCTGTCAGGTCAGGCTATGCTATGGGTATTGCTATAGGGTGTGCAGATGCACTGCAAGTGAGACCCTGCCAAGGGGGAAAAAAAGAAAAGTAACTAGTCCCTGAAAATTTTCTCGTATTTATTTTTTGTGAGTTCTTCACTCAATTATGCTTTGTTAAATTTGTTCTGGATTTCCATGTATTAATGAGGGATTTTCCTTTTCAGTCTGTTTTCAATGTTGTATGCCTCAAAATTCASAGCAAGATGTGAAAGAAAGCATGAAGACAGTTGAATTCTCTAAAGTGACATCTGAAACGTCGTCTGTATGACCAGACCATACTTGCAGGTAGTGTTCTTCACCATTCTTCTCTTGGCACATAGATTCTCAAATATTATTAGATTCTTATGAAATGCTAGCTCACAAAATTCTCTATGCCTTTTAACATGAATGTGCAGTGTTATTTAGGGTCAAAAGCTATGGAATGATGCTGCTGTTGTTTGAAGGAGAGTACAGAAACTGCCAGGAAGAGTCTGACTTGGCATGAGTTTATAACTACAAAACACTAGATTAATTTTGGCTTGAAAGCTCAGCTATGTCCAGTGTTGTGTCCTCCAAAAAGACATTTTTTCAAGTCAAGAGGTTGAAGAAAAGATTACCAGCTAATTGCTGCTATTGATATTGCTATCCAGGTGACCGTATTTCCTGCTCTCACCACAGCACAGTGAATTGCCGGGGGGATATATTAACAGTAGCAGCTGTAGAGTCCTAGAAACCATGAATTCCTCAAGCTGCGTGTTGTAGTAATCTAAAGGCTTGAAAATCTTGAGACTGAAAGAAGGGGAAAATATAATTCAGACCACTTTTCTCATTTCCAAACCTGACCACCCCCTCATATTTTCCTCAGGGGAAGGCCCTATCTAGAGCAGATACAAAAACCTTGGTTAGCAYGAAGTCCTGGGGCTTTTGTGAGTACCGCTCCCTGGTGGGAGTTTACCTACTGAATAAATCCATTCTGCCACATTCCCCTTTCTTATAAAAATGGGTGATTTTTTTCTCTTTAAACGGCTGGTGTTTCCTAGCTGCAGGGCCCGGGATGGTTGCTGTCTGTGAACAGAAAATGAGAATTTAGAAAAGCTCGCACGAGAAAAGCGCGCGGCCTCCTCAGTGCCGGGCTCTATTGCCCGAACCCAAAGGGGCTGCGCTGAGCCCCGTGCTGCCGCAGTGGGGGAGCAGTTCCCAAGCCCCCTGCTCCGCAGCTCCAGGGCTCCGGCTGCTGCTCCCAAGGCTCTCGCGGGAATGCGGCGCCGGCCTGGGGCCCTCGGCAGCACCAGCCTGGAGCAGCCGCTGGCTCCGCGCAGCACCCTGCGCATCTTCCCTGCAGCAGGAGCCCTCTTGTGGACTGCGCCAGGAGACTCCCGTTCGGCTCTCGGCTCTGCAGCATTCTCGGTTACTTTCAGGATTAAGAAGCAGGGAAAACAGTAAAGTCTTTCCTTTGTGCCCCCTCAGGTTTCCTATCCTGTATATCCTACACTGCGGTCCCCCTGCTCTCTACGGCAACGCTTACTGCAGTGACCCTTCGGCTCTCTGGAAGGGGATGAGAGCGGGCAGAGAAACCCACTCAAGAAGACTGACAAGATTCCTGAAGGAGCAGCAAAGCCCACCTATGTGCTGTGCGGTGGCCACATCGCCGCTGGAACTGCATCCCCAAGGAGGCTCCATACCGCTGGAGCAGCGACGGGCCCGGCGCCGGCATCGCGCTGCTCGGGACACCACGTCCAGCGCTGGGGACACGTTGCCTTTGATGCTGTCCCGGTGCAAATCAGGGGGCTGCAGAGCTCCAGCAGGCAGCCTGCGCCCCCCTCGCCCCTTAGTAACATGGAGTGGCCTGTGGGAGACACCCGAAASTCAGGGCAGGCTCTCACGGCCGGCCGTGCTTCTGCGTCACAACAGGAAGCAGCTAAAACTTATTTCACCTACAGCTTGGCACTGATAGCTCCCCGTGCTAGGAGCCAGCTGCCAGGACCAGCTCCCAGTGCTTTTTAAGGAAAAGCATCTCAAGGTGGCCACACACGCCTCGCACGTGCTCCCGGTGCTGCGAGGCGCTTGGCACGATACACACTGACAGCAKAGCCAGCTGGCGTGGCCTCTGCACGCAGGTGGGTGGCACAAGTTCTCGTACCCTCTGTCCCGCAGGGAGAGCCTGGCGAGCCGAGGGGCCAGGCAGGCCGGTGCTCCTCCATTAACCCACTCGAGAGGCAGAGCACGGYGGGCAGCCATGTGGCCAGGGACGGCGCGCGGCGGCACCAGCCCGTTCCTTCCACACCTGCAAAGCTCCCTCACACTCGGTGGTTGTCTTACCTGTATCCAATACATTGAAATACAGCTCAGGGCCCTGCTTCGGTTTGGACATTTGTCTTGAAACACTTGCTAAGGTGGGTTCTCCAGGGTTTTGAGTCTCTCACACGTGGTTACTTGGCTTGTTCTCTGGACCCAGCCAGGACGCGAAGGAAGCCAGCTAATGCTGGCTAAGACTCAGCTGCTCCGGGTGATATCCTTGCCTACTGTGTAGGAAAAATYGGTTTCTCATTTTGAGGGGAAAAGAGGGAAAAAAACCCAAGTCCTAACAAGCTTCCTGAGCAACCATAYGTGGTGGCTAATGCAGCTCTGCCCTGACTATGACGGGGTCGCTGCCTTTCTCCTTGGCCCCGAGCTCATGCAGCGCCCGCACTGCGTGACCCCATGCAGCCCATGGGACGGGCAGACTCCCAAGGCAGCACGTCCTGGCCTTTCCGAGGGGCTGCTGTTGCTGGAGGAGCTTGCCCTGCTCAAAGACATGCTCCAGGCGCCTCTTTTTTTTTTTGTTTCCAGTGAGCAGGTACTGAGACACAAATTGCTTGAGTAAACAGGAGCACTAAAAGTGGTTTGTGGGGTTCAGCTATGAGAGGCTAAGGGAGCAGGAAAGGTCACCAGTGGGAAAGAAGGCAGTGTTCCCTTTCTAGGCCTGGAATCATGCAGCCCAGCAGCTGGGCTTTCCCATTGTATGAAATGAAGTGAGAGCCTGCAAACGTTCTTGCTGAGGGCTTTGTGTGAGGGCAAGAAGGAAAGGTTCCTGCCAGGCCACCAATGAGTGTCACAGTGCTGACACTCTCTGCAGCTGCATTCTGGTCACCAGCAGGACAGAGGTGGAAAAGGAAGCAGCGCTAGCCAGAAGCAGCTTGAGCTCATCTCAGGACTTGGTATACAAGTTGCCATGAAAATAGCATCTCATGGTTTTCATACCTTCTCTTTCTATCTCTGTTCTTTCCAGCATAAACTCCCAGCCTCTGGGAATGCTGAAAACCCTTTCCTGTATTTAATTAGTTCATTTTCAACACTGTGCTTTCTTACCTGCCATAACCGTGGCAGGTTTCCACCGTGCCAACCATACTGTAGCTCTGACAGCTACACGTGCACAGCATTTTTCTTCTGAGCAGCTCATGCTTGACTTTTGTTCCTGATGGCCGACTGTGCAAACTTGTAGAGAAGGGCTTGTCTTCTGCACACTGCCAAAACTTTCCACATCACCACCGACTCCCATGATACTTTAAATAGCTCCTTCTAAAGAAAATCAAAACTTCACACTGACAACTATGTCTAGCATCAATATTTAATTTACTTGGGGAGCAGGTTTTTTTTTTTTTCCTTAAGCACTTATAGTATGAACCATGTTTTCCATTACCTTATTGCTATTTTCAGTGAATTGCACCAAAATGGTTTCTATGAGACCTTTCCAGCTTAATATCTGGGTCTTTGTACCAGATGAGCTGCTCTTGGTTTATTGCAAGTATTGTGTATATAAGACTTTTGCTGTTTTTCTCCTTTATTTGTATTAAAAGTTAAATGATAAACTTTGTATACTTTCCTCAGTAATAAAAGGTATCTGTTCTAAGTTTTGGGAWGTGGTTGAGCCTCTCAATTACTGACAAGAGCCCCGGCTACCCCTTCACAGCCACTAAGCAAAGCAGGCTGTGCCACACATCAGGGTAGGTGATGGAACTGCCTAAGGAACCCAAGTAACAGTAACTGGAGCTGGGCTCAAGACCCAGCAGTGTCTGCTGCACTCAAGAGCAATGACAGAACGGCACCCACACAAGTCCCTGACTTGTGAATTCAGCACACCTTGCAGCTGTCAGTCTGCTGGGGGTTATCTGAGCAGCAGATATGCTGCTATGCTGGTAGACATAGAGCCTGCAAGAGGTCTTTCTTCTCCTTTCCTAAAAGATGGTTTTCTCTGCAAAAATAAAATCAGTTTAAGACCTTCTTGCTGTATCCCYCCTGTCTGTTAGCTACCGTGACAGYGAAGAACTGGTAACTTCATCATGGTGCCTTTTCCTGGAAGGAATGTTTGGATTCCAAAAAGATCTCTGAACCAATTACTCACACTCCATTTTGGACAGTGGCTTCAATTACAAGAAATGAGGAAATGCAGGGAGTTAACTTAGCAGAAAATGTAGCAAAAATTGGCTGCTAAATTGAGCTAAGTGCAGATGAAGTCTCTGCTTCCCTTTCCTAATGTTTAGCATAAGGGACATCTAGTGCCCATTTCCTTACAAGGGGAGAAAATCCCATCTGCTAGCCTAGCTCTGACTAGTCCTCCCAAGGAAGAACATTCCCATATCAGCGTCATGGAACACACGAGAAGTGGTGTTCTTCAGTCATCACACCAAGTGGTCACTAAGGAGGAAGAGGGAGCAATGACATAGCTGAATATTATCAGCTATCATCACTGGGGATATAAAACTGAAGAGTGGGAAAACACCAGCCAGAAAAACAGGGATCATGAAAGATAAAACATTGCTATATAACTACACTAGCAAATACATATGGCTTGGAAAGCCCTACTGCTCTGTTAAGTTTTTGAAGGGCAAAGGTCACCACAGAATGGTTGRGGTTGGCAGAAACGTCTGGAGATCATGTAGTCCAACCCCTCTGTTCACGCAGGGTCACCTAGAGCACATGGCCCAGGATTTTGTCCAGATGGTTTTTGGGTATCTCCAAGGATGGAGACTCCACAGCATCTCTGGGGAGCTGTTCAAGAGCTCAGTGACCACACCATGATTACATACCACCAAAGCATGCACAGCTGGTAATATGGAAGACTGAGTGACCTATCCATAGTTCTGCTTATTCAAATGCTTTGCTTGTTCCTAGGGAAGGATAACCAAAATGGAAGAAAAAGATATATTTTTCCCTTGGGGAAAAAAAAAAAAGAAAAAAAAAAAAAGACATATACTCAGGTGTTTAAATAAAAAAAAAAATTGATTTATAAGTTAGGAAACAATGTTTTCTCAGAAGCAAGCTGTGACAAAAATTTCACTGGGTGGAATACACTCTGCAGAATCAACTACTTATATTTCAACCAACAGTTATCCACTAGAATGGGAGAACAGCATTCAAACAGAACAGAGTAGTTACTCTTTACTTCTGTGATGGAGACCACAGTCTCCTGCCTAGATACAATTCTCTTTAAGAYGCTAAAATGAGGAAACAAACAGGACCAGAACTCTGACCTGATCTGAAGAAAACGGTGACAGGTCACCTGGCCCTTCTAGGTACAGTTCATTATGAACTAAAGTTCAGCCCTGCTTATGGCAGACTACTGTGACTTACCAGTAAGTCACATAAGCCCAATATAAATAGAGTGGGCCCTCTCTCCTGGCTCTGGTCCTTGTTACTGTCTAGGTAAAGGAGAGTCTAACGCTGCCATCACACCTAGCTGCTCCATGGTGAGACCTCAGGGATGGCTCTTCTCATGAGATGTCACTCGGGTACCTTTCTGTAATGCAAACACCACACAAACTAAGCATAAGGATATCATGGAGACATTGACTGCTGCTAGATAGCTTTATTGGGTGTCTTGAAACACGTTTTCCCAGAGATAGGCCCCTAATCTCTCACCTTCAAATGAAATTAGAGGACTTTTTATGTTACTAGAACTGCCCAAGTATCCATCCTTCCACCACCACCACCAGAACATGCCATCCTTGCTGTGGTCTCCTCAGCTGCCCTTCTACAAAGGAAGCCAAAATATGTCCTTTTCAGGGTATTTCCATATCATGTCCAGCTCCTCTATTCTTCCTCAATATTGATTGCAAAATACCCTATTTACCCTAGGAACTGTTTTTCTTTCCAGAAAAAAACAAAAGCCTGAAGAAACCACAAGCAGCGAAACAGAGCTGGTCCCACCCAGGCAAGTGACACTACGGACGGGGATGATGGGAGGCGACACAGGGCTCGTGTTTCTGCTGCCCACGTGGTGCTCACACAGCAAAGCCTCCTGCTGCCATCTGAAGAGCAGCTTTTCTCAGAATGAAATCAGCCTTCAGAACCAGGGTGTCTTTAGCAGCCAAACTAGTAATAACCTCCTTTGCCTYGACTAGGCTTTTGGGAGCAGGTGACCTGGGCATTCCTGGCAGTGGGCTGTGTTTCACCAGAGATACTGGAGCTACTCTCAGCCCCCACCAAACCTACCGACACTGCTGCTCTGCAGATGCTGCATTTCCACCTTCTGGAGTGGAAGAGGTTGGCCCCTTACAAGCACTTGTGTTGTGATGCACRTCCATGAACATTGCCGTCATCCAATTTCTCTTTTGGACAGAATACTTCCTTCACCTCTTGACTGAAGAGTTTTTAATGGGCAGAATCGAAATACTTCACAGCTGCTTGCAACAGAGATCCAGGGGAAGATTTAGTTGCTCCTGGATTCTCCTGCCGTCTCTTCTATCTGTGGTTCTCCCTTAGCGTTGCTTTCTGTTTGGCCCAAGACTTCAGTTACACTGAGCCTGGATTGCCTAAAGGGGAAGAAAATGTAAAGCAACTTTATGACTGTATCCTCTTGACAGAGACAGCACTACAGAGCCCTAACTCTTTAAAGGTTTCTTCTGGGATCAGCACTACCTGTGAGTTTTAACGTGTCATGCAACCAGCATCATCACCCCTTCTCCCCAAAGCCTCCAGCTTTTCTCTCCTTATCAAGCACGGAGAGAAAGCAGCAAAGAAGGAAAACAGAGATTTCTGGAGACCTCCTTAATTTTGGTCAAGAAATACAAATGTGCTTTAAATCAAATTCACCTCTCTTGCCCTCAGCCACTACAGAAGTGAAGGATGGAGGCAGTTACAGGGGGGAAGGCACAGATTTCAAACAACTTCCTACAAAGCAGGCGGCAGCACCTAAYCATAGGACAACTAATTCAGAAATTCACAGGCTGGCATGTGAAAGACAGCAAGAACTGAAGAGCAGAGGCACCGAGGCCGGCAYGACCTGTCGCATCAGGGTTTCTATGGATGTGTGAGCCACCCTGGCACATGCTCCCTTCCAGTCCAAGGCACCACGGGCAGCGCCGCTCCTTACCACTCTGCCAACTTCTGCTCATACAGCTCCCTCCGCTCACGATCCCTCCTCTCCTGCAAGGTCTCACCAGCAAAGCTCTGCATCACCATTAAGAGGCCTCCTGCAGGGATTCTAGAGGAGGAAGCAGAAAAGTCAAAAGTCACCCAGGGGACACGTAAGAGCAAGAACTTACTGGCAGCAGCAAGGGGGGCACGCAGGGGCAGCCACAAGAGCAGCGGTGCCTGACGTTCCCCAGCAGCCCCACGGCAGGCGACGGGGCTCCTGCGCTGGCGACCGTCACCAAACAGGGCTTCTTGTCACCCGTGACTCACTGCACACCCCTGCTGCGGCACATTTCAAAGTTACTCATTAACAGCCATACAGGGGGCAAGGGCTAGCACAACTTAGGATGCCCATGCTGACTTTGTGAACATAACCCACCATTTAGACAGCCAAAGCCCTGCTTAGCTTCTGCTCAGCTCTGGAAGTGCCTGTGTTTTAAGGATAAAGCTCCCTCGGCTGCTGTTAGGCTGGCCCACAAGCAGCTGCTGGAGCTAAGCACGTCACACTGAGCTCTCTCTTGTCCAGAGGTGACTCTCAAATTAATTAGCGAGGATATTCACAGATCTGGGCTTTGAGAAGAATGCCCAGCTAGCTCGGCTTGAAAAGTCATAATTCTCTTAAGCAAAAAGGTCACTGTCCTGCATTGCACTGCACTGTGCACTGCATTGGACAGTGCTCCTAAACAACAGCTTACGGGTTCTTTTATCTCCCAGGGAGCTTTGGGAGATGCAGGACTGAAAACCCCACGTGAAAAGATTTGTCATCTGAAGGCCCRCACAGAGGCTGGCCCAAACACACTGCTTCTTCCTTAGCGTTTCCAGTGGCTACTGCTCCCCATTTTGGGTTTCACAGATCCCATTTTGTAGATACTTCATGATTTTAATGACTGTATATCATTATACTTCGTGATGCTGAGCTAGGGTGCYGGCAGCTGCCAGGGTGCCCAGTTGTTTAGAAAGTTGGGATTACAACACCCGACATCCCTTGTGGATCGAGCTCTGGATTCCGAGCTGCTACAGGAGCCGGTGCTGATGGAGATGAGCAGGTAGCCCGGAAGCTCTTGGATTCCTGCCTTCACCCCCAGACAACACAGCTCCTCAGAACAGATGCCCAGCTCCTCTGCACACAACCACAGCAGCCACTGGTGACCACACTGAGGGAGGGGAACAGAAAGCGTGTCTATGACCCATTTCCCACTAAACAGCAATTAGTGCCTCCTCCCACATGCAAAGAGCAGTAAGAAGCTCTGTGGAGAGCTGCGAGTCCCCACTGAGTAAATAACCAAATACAAACTGCAGGGAAAAAAAAAAGTTAAAACATTACAAGAATTGTCATCAGGAGGCCCCAGGAGAGAAAGCAAATCCCAGCGCAGGAGGGGAGGGRAAGACTCTCCAGGCCCGTGAGGTCTCCAGGCTGGGATGGGGGAGCTGCCTGCCGTCCCACACGTGCCGTTGGAGGGGAGCTCCTCACAGGCCCCACTCACCCGAAGGCTACTCCGAAGACGCTGCCGCCGACCAGCCCCTGCAGACCCAGGTGCATCCTGAAGAGGCCTCCTGTGAAGGCTGAAGGCAGAACACCCGCTCAGCGCACACGCTGCCCCCGCCAGCCCTCGCACCCGCGGCCCCGGAGCCGCCTGGCCCCAGGCACCTCTCCACAGGCTGATGCCCACACTTAGGGCAGAGCCGAGCGCTGTGCCCAGCGGGGAGGGACTCTGGGCACACGGGCAAGAGGCAGGCACCTCACCAGCCAGAGACGGGCTGCTACCGCGGCGCAGGACAAACTGCAAAGCAGGACTAACCCACACGGTCCCTGCACTAAAACACAGTRTAAACTCTCCCGCTGCTTCTTTCCTGTGAGGGTGACAGAGCCCCGGCACAGGCTGCCCAGGGAGGCTGTGGAGTCTCCTTGTCTGGAGATCTTCCCAACCCGCCTGGATGCCGCCCTGTGCCCGTGCTCTGGGTGTCCCTGCTGGAGCAGGGGGCTGGACTAGGTGGTCTCTATGGGTCCCTTCCAGCCTCAGCCATTCTGTGATTCTGTGAAAGGCTCCCCAGGAAATGTTAAAACAGAGATGTATCTACAAAAGGAAAACTGGGGTCGCTGGTGGCTGCAGCATGGTTCCCTTTTATTTTTTTAAATGACAGCCAAGAATAGTAGCTGGAACGTAAGGCAGAAAACAGTAAAATGTGTATCTGACTGTAATGGCAAGAAATCCTGTAAGAAGGGAACAAGCAGGTCCACTACCAAACACCCTTCTGCCAGGAGCAGGCATGCAAGACTTCACATGGAAGGGGCAGTTTAGAAGCAGGATATTGAACTGTTAGGAAGAGGGGAAATGAGAAATGCCTCCCTGAACAGCTGATTATGAGTTTAGGTTATATACAAAATGCTGTATTTACGCTACAAGCACTTTTTACCCCCAAATTCCAACAAGTGTTTTGAAGATGRACTACTGAACATAGAACTTGCCTATCATTTCACACACACGTCGGTATCTCTGCAAAGGAACACGGCAGTTAAAGAAGTGAGCAAAGTAACATAGCCAGTGAGTAGAACAGGAAGCAAAACCCAGCAGCAGAGACAGCGAGGGCTGCTCAAATCCAAACCAGCACTTCCCTTGCTCAGAAGCAGAACAGTGCACAAAAATACAGCAGCCTTACCTCCTGCTGCTGCAAAGTTACTGACGGCGGTTTTATTGCGGTACACAGACAGGCCAGTGCTCACCGTGCTGCAGGGACAAGGCACAAGAGAAGTCAGCAGCGACACATGAAGAAGAGAGGCCGCAAAGCACAGCCTGAGATAGAACTGGGTTTCATTAAGCCAACCATCAGGTTGCCTCTAACTGCCCTGCCGCCGGTCTGTCCAGAGCACATACCCACCAGGCACCAATGCTTTGATTTTTATAACTTTACTGCCTGCAGCCATACAGCCAGAGGCAGGGGAATACCAGGCTCCAGATCCGGATTTGAGACATTCTGTTTTCATTTTTTCTAAATCAAGGATTTTTTTTTCACTGTACATTCAAGGCTAACAGCAAGTGAGAACCCAGGAGGTCCCACCAGCCTGTCCTGGCCCAGCACCTTCACCCCACAGGGGTCTCGGTGAGAGCTGCCTCACGTGCAAAGGTTTATTGCTAGGGCTAAGCCAGAGTCAGGGCGCCTGCTCTTGGGGCGGGAGGTTTTCTGCAACCCCATCTCCCCCCAGGATGCAAGGCAAGCCCTAAAACCTTCTCTCCTCTCCATGCAGGAGTCACATAAGCCCCAAAAGCTTCCCTCCTCTCCGTGCTTCCCATTATGCCCACCAGCTCAGCCCATGCCTCCTGACATCCGCAAGCCAACAGCAATCCTGTTGTCCTTCCCAACRCTGCAGCTTTTTGTAAGGGTAAAACTAACAACTGGTTTTTAAATTGCCAAGTTCAAAACTAGCCCAAATACGGAACATAATCTTCAAAGTGAATTTTACAGCAGCAATTAGCAGAGAGATGAGATCTTCTTTCAATAGCTGGTACAAAGGTGTAACGAGTAAAGGCAATGCACTTGGATTCAGGGGAGACACCTGGTGGAAAATGATGAGGTTACACATCAGATCCACAAAAAACTTAATCAAAAGTTCTGGGAAAGAAAATAAATGATATGCCAGTTAAACCAAAAGAGACACTAAACCAAGAGGGGCCAAAAAACTACTGAGAGCAAGGGAAAAATAAAGAAAGGTACAAAAAAAAAAAGTGAGGCAGAAATATAAACTTAGTTGCAACTGGGAAATAATGCTAGTCAACAGAGCCTTATAAAAAAGAAATGCAGATTTAAGGACAATACAGCTACCTATACGGCCAGTACAGATTTTGGGCTACTTGGAAATTCATCACGGTGAGGGTCAACAAAAGAGATATTCCTAGTTTACAAGGGTTTTATGTGGAAGAACATGTTTAGTTTGATGCTGTATTGTCAGAAATACACTGATGTGTCTAGGGAAGAAGATTAGAAAAAGCACGTTATGTTTTGGAACATTTTAAAAGACTAAAGAGGCACCAGTGCTAGGTCTAACGACCAGTGCCTCCTTAACAGGATGAATCATCTGCAAATGTTCGTAACACAAGGATAAAGATTTGTGAGCCACATCTGTGTATACAAACCAGGAGTAATGAGAAATAACAAAAAAGAGAAAAAGAAAAAAATGCATGGGGTTGAACGCCATTCCTGAACGGACAATGTGCTGCAGCATTCTCCAGAGAAGACTCCAAAACACCTCAGGGAGGATGAACAAAAAAGGGAGAACGAGSAAAATCAGGGAGAAGCTGCTAAGGAAGAACCCTATGTAAGTCCACAGGGGCGTGGAGTGGGCGTAACCAGAGCTTTTCCAATTTTAGTTTTTGGGTCGGTTTGTTGGAAGATCTGAATTAAGGAGTAAACATGAAAAGGACTGATCCTTTCACATYTGCCCCATCCATCAGTCTCACTGTGAACACAACATTTTGAGCCTCCATTCCCCCAGGAATCCTTCAAGAGGCAGCRACTACAAGCACAACATGCACCAGGGGCTCCTGCCCCCTAACGAACAAGCTCCCACCACCAGCAGCAAATACTTACTTGAATATTGCCACAAAAGCAGCTACCCTCCAGCTCCAGCGCCAGCCGTAGCGGATGAAGCTCCGGAGCCCCGCCTGGTGAGCCGATTGCTGCAGGAGGAGAGAAGCAAGGTTACCCATCCCGGACCTGCTCCGCTGCAGCCAGCACGAGCCCACTGCGTTCCCAAGAGGGACGTATGGAGGAGTCACGGTGGCGACTGGGCTTGATGGCCCTCAAGACCTTGGGAATGATGCCCTGAACCTTAAGGATGGAGCTGACCATCTCCAAAGGAGAAGCCGCTCGTGTTTACCCAGGCCTCCAACAAGAAAACTAAGAATTAATTCCAGTTTGTAACATCAACTGGTCTCCCAAGTGGCTGAGGACACTTAATGAGGATATCTTCCTAAGGAATTGATTTTAAGTGTAATAGAAGAGCATCAAAGGGGAGAAGAAAGGCAGAGGAAGGGGAACAAACTGAAAACTAGTCCTTAATTATTATCAATGATATGTACTAAATACATCAATAGTAATCATCTATTTCATATCTGAAAMGGAGACCCTCAAACTCTGCAGTTTAGCACTGGCATTTGAAGATTTGCCAATAAAAGAGGCTTTTAAAGCAAGCTTCATAAAAATAATAATAATRATAATAACAAAAATACAGCTAATACTACAGAAAATAGTCAATTTCTCTCTCCCATGCCTGTGGTATGGAATATTTAATGTAGGTGCAAAAACAAAATAACAGTCAATAGGAGAAAACAGTGTTGCCAGATACGGGGATTTCACAGAGAAAGTCAGGGGCCAAACGTGCAAATGAATGCTGCAAAACCGGGCAGAAGCTTTTAAGGTTTTTGTTTCTGATAATCCACACTACCAAAATTTAAATTGAAGAAGAAACTCTCTCAAAGTCCCAATATCTCTATAAAATACCATAAATGTTCTTCATGAAGAAGAGTAGTGAAAGGCTGTAAGAAATTTAAAACAAAATAGATAAAACAAAAAACATGAGCAGGTTAAGGGGAGACTACCCATTTGACACCACAGACTGTTTCTTTAGCGTCACACTAAAATTAAAGCCCCAAAACATGCTCTAGGTGTCCCTGCTTGGGCAGGGGGGTTGGATCTCTAGAGGTCCCTTCCAATCTCAACCATTCTGGGATTATGTGTGAAAATGGTAAGGCATTTAATAGAATGTAAATACTGTTACTTTGTTTTTTTCCCCTGTACCTAGTGGCAATTTCCTTTAAGTTAAGCATGTAGCATTTGGGTAGAACTGACAGCTAGCTTTCACGAGGTGACTGCACAGACTGCGTGCACTTATACATGCATGTATTTGTATTTATATTTACATACATATATATGCACTTATACATACAGGAGCACGTTATTTGAGGAAGTCTCCAGTCCCCCACCAAATGTGAGCGAGACTGCCCAGAGCCCTGCGACCCTGCTGGTCCGGGACTGGCACACGGACACATGGAACCACCACCATTCCCGTGGAACAGCAGCGTAGGAAGGGCACAGGAGTGGCCTTTCAAACCCCACTTCCAATGGGAAACGCTCCCCAAACCCCAATTTTGAAGGGAAACRCTCCCTGACCTGCTCCCTGGGGGCGCTCAGTGACACCAAGTGCAGGGGGATCCTTATCACAGCGGCCACAACCCGTCTGCAGAGCGGCCCGTTCGGACGCCAGGCCGGGTGGGCACGGTTGGGCACGGAGCGTGCATGGAGCGGCGCAGAAGGACATGGAGCAGTGCACAGAGYGGTGCCGAAGGGCATGGAGCGGTGCGGAAGGGCACAGAGCAGCACATGGAGCGGGCGCAGAAGGGCCTGGAGCAGCGCATGGAGCAGAGCACGGAGCGGGTGCAGAAGGGCATGGAGCAAGGCATGGAGGACATGGCGTGGTGCATGGAGCAGGGCACAGAGCGGGCGCAGAAGGGTCTGGAGCAGCGCATGGGGGACATGGAGCAGCGCATGGAGCGGGGCACGGAGCAGGGCACGGAAAGGGCATGGAGCGGGGCACGGAGCGGGGCACAGAGGCCATGGAGCAGCGCATGGAGCAGAGCACGGAGCAGGGCACGGAGGCCATGGAGCGGTGCATGGAGCAGAGCACGG